AAAAAAAAAAAAAAAAAAAGAAAAAAGAAAAAAGAGGGATTTAATCACAATTTGGCTAAAGGAAAACGTGTCACACGGACCGGCACAGGTTGAAAAAAAATTCGTGGTTGGGCAAAGAGAAGAGAGGCGAGCGAGTCGATCGCCGCGGTCGGTGGCGGGGATAAAAATGGCGCGACCTTGAAATATCGTATGCAAAGTGCAAACTCGCGACGCGGTGGCTCGGTGAACCGGTACTCACGAAAGCGAGCTACGAGCTACGAGCACGTACCGGCCGTTCACGATGTCCGCCTCGATAAGTGCGACAAATTGCGCGTAATTGTGTGCGTGCACCGGTGATTATCCTTCGGAGGTGAAAACGCGAACGATCCTGCAATGCATCTCCGATCTCTCGAAATACCTTCGAGACAAGATGTAAATCGTCGTCGTGCAATTTCGCGTCGTTCGAAAGTTTATTCTGCGTTTCCCATTGAAATAAAACGACGACGATTGACATACGGGAACGATTCCACTACTATTTGGAAATCCGTATACCATTTCACGTCCGTGCACAGTCGGCAGTTAAAATAAACTGCGAAAGTTTCGCTCGATCCATTCGACAGAGCGAACACCAGTTGCAACGTCGCGAGGAACGGTATTTCCCAGTTACAAGTTACGAAACGGAACGGTTAAAAAATTGAATCGAGCGCCGAACTCACCACCATAAACAGCCCTTTTCCCCTCTATATATACATATATATATATATATGTATATATACCGTAGTATATATATTGCTCTCTCAATATCGCATTCCGCAATAAACGCAGTGACAAATGCGTCGAAACCGCGATCATAGGCGAACGGCGTTATCCGAGGCGAGAGCTGCAACCCTCAGGGGCTGCCAGAGGTTTTCGAAAGGGGTCGAGAATCCGGGGGCTGGAAAGAAAGAGAGAGAGAGAGAAGAGAGGCCGAGAGTTATTCGGCGGGCGTCGGCTCTAATTTATTTCACTTTAAAGTCCCCGCGTTATAGGTGGGCGAAAGGCCGCGCGTTACAACGACGCCAGG